CTATAAATTGACTACAAAATTATAAGTTATTACCAAAATTTTCATAAAAAATAAATTTTTACTTTCAGAATCTACTAAATCTAATATATATCAAATTCAAAGATTAAAACAATAATAACTCCAAAATTGGGATTTTTACAGTTTATCATTCAGTTGGGTTGTAGGAATGCATTTTCACGAGTAAAAAAAAAAAAAAAAAAAACATATTTATCAATATATTGACACCCACAAAGTTGAGTGGCCAAGATATTAATATTTTTTGGCAGTTCATATAACTTTGTTTTATTGTTTCAATAAACTTTTTGGAGGGTAAGAAAAAAAAAAAAAAAAAAAAAAAAAAAAAAAAAAAAATCTTTGTTTTAAGAACCCGAAAATTGCAAAATAAAAATCTCAATTTTTAAATTGATACTGTTTTGAAATAAGCGTTACTAATTTATTATAAAACAAAAACTAAATTTTAATAAAAAGGAAGTATAACAGCAATCGATTTAAAACATTTTGTAGTTAGCAATCTAGTCTAAAAGTTATAACTTAAATGTATCCTTTTAATAGTGGCAGTCATATTTACCAGTACTAAATGTTATAAATAAAATATATATATATATTTACATTTTATAATTAAAAATTAAATACTATTTCTAAACTAACTCCACATAAAAAATTTAGAACACACATTGCTATATCTAAAAGCCAAGTCAAAATTTCAATAACACTGCAACAAAGTCACACATATTTCAAAATTTATATATTTTTTTTTTTAAAGAATCATTTAAGAGATTATTAGCCAAGCAGTTTTCAATTTAGGACATCATTGTTTTTTCTAGCCAACCTCATAATGAAAAAAAGTATTTTTTGTTACCATGTTAATTATACCTAACTAGATATTATCAGACTATCACAGTTTAATCAGACAACCTTCATTTTATTATTTGTTTTTTCAAACACCAATCACATAACTTTCACATAATTATGATAATTCATGTACATAACACTTTTTTTTTGTTTTACTTTTTTTTTAAAACACAAAATTAAATAAACCCCGATTGAAGAGGTATAATCCAACACAAAATTGATGAAATTCATAACTTATTTAAAATACATTTATATATTTACAGCAGGAAAACACAAAGATGTTTACAGAAAAGATAAATAAATCCAATAAACAATTAATAAAAACAAAAGAGAGACAGCGAGAAAAAAATGTCATCCCATTAATAATGTGTGAATAAAATGTCAACGTTTAATTTGATTCATAAATATTTTTTAAGTAAAAGCCACTATTTCCACTTCTTTCTATAAAATTTATTTTATAATTTTAAATTTTGTTTTTATAAACTAATTTTAAAAGGGATTGCCTAACTATATGAAAATTAGATATAGTGTTTATAAAATATGGATTTGAAGAGGCTAACATTTACTCTAAAAACCCACTAACTATCTCCGAGTGATTAGACAAAATATTAATTGTTATCTATTTGAGATCCAAAAATGTTAAAATTAATGCACCTCATACAAAACTTTGGAAACACAAAGAACACTTACAGGTTTGTTACTGACATAAAAAACATTCCCAGGATGATTTTTTTTTTTAAATAAATAATCATTTTTATCCTTTAGGCAATTAAATTGTGAGATTTAATTAGGATGCATGGGGAGATAGAAAAAAAAATTTGTTTGCATTTTAATTGTATTCAACATAATTACATTTTGCTTTGAAGAAAAATAAATAAATTTATTCTTAAAGGGTAGAATTAATTTTTTTTTTATAGTAAAAAACATTATTATAAATATTGTGTGATAGAAAAATAATATAAATAAACAACAAAATAAATAACATTAAATAAACTATAAAATCTGTCAATGACAATCAATTATAGGATTAGGATATGATAAATTTTGTTTTTATTTTTTTGTGAATAAAATATCTCTATAAATGAATTTTAAAATTGTTTTCGAGCTGTAGTTTTAATCTATTATCAACAGCATCAAATTCTTTTTAAATTATAGATAAAATTTCAATTTTCTTTGCTGTAAGTTCTGTCATTTCATGAAGTAATCTCTTCTCAATTATCTTGGATTCACTATCAGCCTCAAGTTTTTCAGAAAAAATACTTTCAATAAGGAAATGATTTATTTCAATTACCACTTTACAATAGTCACCGCCGAATGATTAGATTAACATTGGCGAGAAAATGACGTCAAATATACATGTTTTGCAACCAATATTTCCCTGAATTTTCCGTTTTCAATACAGATTTGAAATTCCTTAACTTTTCTCAGTTGTCAGAATTTTCAGGTCTATAACAACCTTTAATTATAAAATTGAATACATAAATGAAACATCAATTTTATAAAAACTTTTTAAAATAAAATTACCAAAAAAAAAAATTAGTTTTATGTGTAGCCAATATTTAAGAAAAATCTTATTATATATTATACATCATAAAATATTTAAAAAATAGTAGTTTGGATAAATGACAAAATGTTAAAAACAGTTAAATTAGAACAGCATTAACAAAGAACTTTATAAGAGAGGCAAAAATACCTCTTTGCAAATTCTCTTATATATATATTATTTTTCATTTTTACTTTTAAAAAAATAAATTGTTATGCGATGGATAGAATAGAAAAATAGATTTACTTAACCAGGCTATAAGAAATATTCAATTCAGAAAAATTAATTAAGTCATAAAATATAGAATGAAAATTCATCTCATAATCAAACAAATATTTAAAAACTAAATTCGAATATCAATAATTAATTTTTTATTATGTATAAGATGAAGAAAAAAGGTATTGAATTATATAGTTTAACTTTGTGTATCTTTAATATTTGATTTATCATGTAGGATTGCGCGGCTGAGTCAATTTTTTCATAAAGTTCCCCGCAAATTATATTTTCTAATCAGTTATTTTGTTTAGTTTCAACTTGAAACCAGCCCGAAGTTTCTGCACCCCAAAGACTAAAATTTATGAACAACAAAAATAACATATCATTTAAATTAATTTTAATATATATATATATATATAATACGGATTTTCTCTCTCAACAGCCAACTAGACAGTTAATTTACACTTACTTATACAACAAACAATATTAAAATATTACATTTTTTCTTTAATTCTATATTCCATAATTGTCAAATCATAAGCGAAACTATTATTATCATATTATTTCATAAATAAATATACAAACAATTCAGTAGTTTGTAAAGAAACATTAATCGTCGTTAATTTGGCCATTGTTTTTGCATCTAGATGGTGAGAATTCTATTTCTATCAAAAACAACTCCTGTCAGAGGAGTTACCATTTAAAATTGAATTTAGAGGTGCAGCTTTGAACCAGTTGATTTTAATAGGTTTCATTATTAACCGATCAAAAAAGGAACATCTCTCCTCTGTTCTGGGGTTTGCTGCTGAACATGTAAAAAGTGCTTACCTTCATAAAAAATAGTAAGGATATTATGTTCATTTGTATAATTATTTGACTTGAGAACCAACATTAATGTAAAATGAGTAGAGAAAAAATATCTATTCACTAATAAGAATGATTCAATCACTAAGTTTGCACAATTTAGAATCGCTAAGTGCTAATAGGTTCCAGTGGCCAAGGGTATTAGAGTAGTCCTCCGACATTCTTAAGCTATAAGTGAATATGATTCGATTAAAGACTATGAATATTGATTTCTATTCCTTTTCAGTCTCATGGCACAAATTTCATAATTTCCGTTTTGGTTATAATAGATTGGATTATTTCCCCTTTCTACAAATTTAGAAGTTAAATTTTAGAAAACTATCATAAATTCTACAGTTCTAAAAGGGTTCAAAATATTGTCACTTACATTAAAGGAAGAATGACGCCTTATGGTAGTAGAAAACAAATCATTTCACATAAGATTTAAAATAAAGTATTATGAGTGAAACAGAGAATCCAGACTGCTAAACAACATCAATCAGCACCTTGTACTGCTACAAATGAAGTCCGCATATAAAGGATATCCAGAACTGACCTGACTGGAATATGTCACAGATCTAGGGCAAAATGTAGATGGGAGTGCTATCATCATGTCCAAACTTGAGGGATTGGAGACCGAGGGAATTCAGTGGAGGAAGGTTTATAGTCAAGGACTGTTAGTGTAGTTGGAATCGAACCTACGAGTCTGCTAAGCCTTTTATTTATTGGCTCTTACAAAAAAAAAGAAATTCAGGTGCCCGATGGGACTTTTAACTCGGCATAATTTTCCCGTCCTCTCCCCAGGGCCGGAAAAAAAAAACATGAGCCTAAAAGGCAAGAAAGGGAAGACCAAAAACAAAATATTTCTTTTTAAGGTTCTTCGTCTATTTACTATGCAATGATTTTAGAGAATTACAATAGGGTTCAGAATTTCAAAAAAAATATTTTCTATTTTTTCAGGTTTCATTTTTCAACATTTCAGAAAGAAAAAATGATATATGAATAAATAGAATTTTTTTTTTTGTAATACTTTAAAAATCCTGATACTCATTAAAAGATAATTTTAGATTTTTCAGCAACAAAATTTAAAAACAAAAAATTAAATAAATGGCTTAAGGAAATGATTAAATTCATTCAGTACTGGAGAAAACTATTTAAATAATGACTAATACCTTGTTTATGCAAATTTAGTCATTATAAATAAAACTTTAATTCTTATATGCAGATATACCACCGAGCATATTTTTCTAATATTTTATAAGAGATATAAACATTATTCATAGGATGACTGGGTATATTTAAATATTTTTCTTTTTAATAAATAAATAAAAAAACAAAAAAAAAAAAAAAACATCCATTTACTGCCTCTAAATTAAATATTTCCATCATCCTCAAAAAAACATTGTAACACGTATATACCATTATATTATAAATATAAAATTAACAAATTAAAGCAATCTAACATACAAATTATTTGTATTTTTTGGCTATATAAATAAAAAAGAAAGATGAAGACAAATCAAAGTTAGATATAAATATATCTTACTGCCGCACAGACTTAGTGATCCTCTTGGCTCCCCTGTTAGGAGGGCCCTTAGGCTTATCGAACTTCTTTGCTACCTCAGGTTCAGGGGGATGCAGAGCTTCAATCAAGCAATCTTCAGATACTTCTTTACCTGAATCTACTTCCATCTAAATCATAAAACTTCTGTTAATAATTGAATTGTATTTGAACGAGTCATAATGAAATAAAATCATGGGGGTAACTAACCTTTTTGTCAATTTTAGCTCCTAACGTAGATTCAATTGATTCTATTAAAGGAGCTTTCGAACTTGAGTAAAGCATTCTTTCTTTTATAGGACAAGAGTAACCAGGCATTGAATAAACAAACACTGGAAAAATGAACAAATAAGTGCTATCATTTAACATTACATATATTATAAGAGCCTTTCAGTTGAAAGAATAACTAACTCCAATTTCAAGATTCTTGATTATTAATTTCAGCGATATTTCTAGTTGGAAAATTTATACCTTTATTCATATTTCTACATTACAACACGGTAATCACCTACTCTGGAATCAATTTACTCACTGTCTGTACACATATTATAAATTTTCCAACTAGAAATAGCACTAAAATGACTTCATTAAAAAATAAGTTATTCAGTCAACTACTGGCTCATGTATAGAATTGAACCTTAATAATAATAATAAACTATTTATTTATTCTGGGACAGACAAGTCCCTTTAGAACAATATACAAAAACAAAATTATATGTTTTAGAACCTCACAGTAACAATTAAAAAGAACAGAAAAACAATAATCAAATAGAAATAATTAAAAAATCATAACATAGCCTCTAAACTTCTAAATGTAACCTTAGGTTCTATCAACTGAAAATCTATAAATCAATTTTTATCGGGGATCTTAAATTTTTATTGGGAAAGCTCACTATAAACAATGGAATAATTAAACATCACTACATACCAAAACAGTTTTTACTATAGTGTGTACCTCTCAAACTCTCTCTCCAAAAAAAATGATCAATTTTATCTTTACACCATTGGTCGGGAGACCCTAAACTTTATGGCAATAACTCCAACACAATGAGTAATGAAGTATCTTACATGACAAAAACCAAGTTTTTAGTGAAGCGCTTCCAGTAAAGTAGGCAATACAACTTTTTGTTAAGAAATATAAAGTTACATAAATGTTCTTTAGAACTCGTAAATACAAATTTGTATAGGTAAAAAAAATTGTAAATTTTAGTTCTTGATAGGCCCGGATTGTTTTGCCGGCCATTAACCAAAGCATTCATAACTTCTCATGATTTTCTCCAAATTCAACGCTAGTACAACCGTTTGAAAGCTGAATTACTGCTCTTCCAAATCACATTAACCAGTTTTGGATTTCATTTCTTTCAAAGCTAGAAATTCAGAACAACTTCTTAAACTTTTTTAATATATTCTTGGTTCTGACCTGTTTATGAAGGTCAGGTTTATAAATTTTTGTTTACCAAACAGAGCTGTAAGTCTCTAATAATTTTTGTGTGATTCGGTGGAGTTTCTCCGAAGTAATCAGATTGGCAACAAAATTTTGAAGGGTCGATCCTTGGAAAAATTACATGTAAAAAATTTTAATGTTTGAATTGTTACGAAAATCCGTAATTTAGAGTGAGCAACAAATTGGAGGTAAATATTTATTAAAAGAAAAACAATGTTGATGTTCATTTTAATTTGTTCTAGAATTTCAGTGCAGGGAAAGGACTGAGAAAATTAAATGATTTATTCATATAAACTCATACATAAGGCATCTTTCACAAAGACTGGAATACTTTTCAAGAAAAATTAAAAATTATATTTCTTAGACAGAAACTCACAGTGATGATAACACTTAAAACCATCAAAGAATTAATGTAATCATTTCCTTACCAATTTTTAATTATGATAAAGGATTGAGGAACACACTAAGATTGGATAAAATGCACTATCTGCAGCCAAAGTTCATGGATTTAGGCTTAAAACGCCTTTGCAGAGGACTAACAAAAATAAAAATGTGCAACCAGTTTTTGATATCAGAGGTAAGGTTGACAAAAAACGATCAAGTTGGGTGCCAGAGAACAGACACATGAAAAAGGACATTTTAATTCCGTTTCAATTCTTAAATATTCTTTTAATGACTTGTTCACAAAAGATAAATGAATATGTAGCATAAAACAAGTAGAATACATTTTTAATTTTACATTTATAGATATGTCAAAATTTTGCATTATCATATTACCATAAATATAAATAACAAAAATAAAAATTATTTTAAGACTTTAACTTAAATCAAATCAAAGTTATAAGATACATATAAGAGATACGTTAAAAAATAATAGAAATAGTTTTAATTTTTTGAAAACAATTTTATTTATTTACTAACAACAATGTTATCACCTTCAAAGAAGTTCCCACTAGATATTATTCACTTACGAGAATATCGCTTCTTCCAATCCCTGAAGCATTTCTGGAAGACGATAGCAAGCATTTAGCTCTCTCAGTGTGAGCTTTTAATTCCATCTATCCTTAAAATGACAGCCTTTAACATTCTCTTTATTTATGAAAAGAGGAAAAGGGCACATGAAGCCATATCAGCCGAATATGTAGGCTGGGGCATCTCATTATGGTTGTTTTTAACCAAAAATTCAGGAACGAGAAATGAAGTGGGTGCAAGTATCGTGTTCAAAACAGCTGAAAAAAAATTAATGGCAAGAGCCAAATGAGATGCCAACTTCACTGATTGTGATTGTTCATAATCATTTCATTGACTTATTATGTTTTCATTCATTGTTGTTGATGTTGGGGTGTCCAGAATGCTTGCCTTCATTAATGTCTTCAAGTCCACCTTGCAAACGCTTGTTCACTTATCACTCATAAATAATTGTTTTACTAGCACTAGACTCATTTAAAGCAGTATTCAACATTTCTAAAACTATATTATATTTAATCCCATTTTTACAGTAAAATTTACTGTAAATTCTCTGATCCATTTTTCCAACAAATAAAAAATCGACACTCGTGACCTTCTTCAGAACTGAAGAGAGACTAATCACTCAATATGGATACCAGTGTGCAGATGAGTTTAAGACATGTTTATTATCATATTTACAAAAAATTGTCCAAATCTGACCAATACAACTCGCAAAATGTAAAGTTTCCTGTTACTTATTAAACCTGCTTCATAAATAATGTGCCCCAGTCGATAACATGTAGATAGAAGGATAAAGTAGTCTTTGGCCTATCACTACAAGCTTGAATGGTTTATTGATTCTTAGAACATTGAATTTTTCTCTATTTTGTGATGAAGAATGACTTTAACAATTTGGTTTAACATTCCAAACAAAAAAATACATGTGTAAGTATTTAAGGTCATTTTAAACTAAGGAATTAAATAATATTCAAAACAAAATTTACATTTGTGTTTTGCTAATGAACAGTAAAAAAAAAAAAATTTAAATGAATAAAAAATCTAGTTAATTTACATAAAATAAATATAAAGCTAAAATAATTACCCAAGGCTTGTTTACTCTCATTTCCAAATTCATATTGAAACCTGAAAAGATGATATTTAGCAGAATTCTCAGGGACTTTTGAAGCAAGTTCTTTCGCCTCAATTTGTTCACATAAATCTAATAAGATTCTTTCTTCATCCAAATCTAAAAAATATAGATATATATACATTAAGATATAAAAAATAGTTATGATTAAATTTATTTATGAAATCATTATTGAACTATTATTTGAAAACATTATTGATCATTAATGAACTAAATATTGTACGTGCTAAATTTAAGAGGCACAACTCAAAAATTATTAGTGGAAATGAAATAAAATCATATGGAAATTAAATGTACTTGAACACCTTCAGTGCTCGAAACATTTTGATGATGATCCATATGCTTCGGTTGAAACGTCGACACCAACAAAAACATTAAAAATGACTGTGTCCTGAATATTTATCACAATTTTTTTTCTTTCCCCTTCTGTGCCTTTTAGGCTACACAGGATTTTTCACAAGACGGGTAGGAGGGCAGGGGAATTATGTTGAGTTAAAAATCCCACCAGGCATTGGGATTTGAACTTATATTATTTGTTTATCTCAAAACTATATCTATCAGGTTGCAGGGCAATGCACGGACTGCGCACATGCGTTAGCCCGCTTGGCCACGATTATTGCAGCTGCTGCCTTAACTATACAAAGTCGTTCTTCGGCTACTGATGACGCATTTTTTTCTGTACAACAGGATTTCATAATAATTTTGTACCCTGTATTTTTGAAACAGACAATGTAGGTTTGTTTTTATTTGGTGTAATAAATGTCTTCACCATTTGTATGATACCAACGTTTCACATGAGCAACAAATATCTTCCAATGAGGAAGATTATTGCCTTCTATTTTACTTAAGAAGTCCTAGGCTGTGAACTGATATTCCTCGACATTGGTCTCGAGATAGTTGTATATTAGTTCCAATCAGGCATGGGTAGAGGATGAAGCACAGCTGACAGGTATGTTCGATTTGTAAGTGGGTGAGCAAATCAGGAAATTGTTTATACTAGACAGATAGTATTGACCATCTGCAGCAACTAGGTCCTCAACAGGTTCTAAATGGTGTTAAACGGCTCGAAAATAAAAATAATTTAAGGTTGTATACCCATTCCACTTTTCTTGGACACAAACAGAAGGTATTGTACTACCTAGGAGAGTATTAAACAGAGAAAGGAAAAATTCACCGATGGCCAAACTGAATGATGTGCAAATGTGCAGATAGTATAGATGTGCAGCATGTGTGAGAGCACAAGATGTACTTGTGATTGGCCAAAGTAAGCAGTACAGCAGTTTGTTTCATACAGCTAACATCTCACTACTATAAACACCCATATTACCCAATAAGCAGGGTACGGCAGGGTACCTAAAAGACTAAATAGGTAACTGAAAGTAATAAGTTGTCAGTCCGTAATAAAGTTAATCCTTGACTTGACCTCACTAAAGAACACCTACAGAAGTACCTATGTATCAGTTGCAGTTAGTATAAACTCTTTTACAAAAAGTATCCTTCATTATTTAATGAAAGGAAACCTAGCAAAACCTAATTTAAAAAAAACTACCAAAATAAGCTAACTCAGTTTATGAAAATTGAATGTGAATTCTAGTTTTTTCCAATCATACAAATCTCCAACACAGGCAAAAATTTTCTGACAGGTAAACATCATGCATAATCTATAATCTTTTTTTTTATTATGATATTTACAACTGTATTAGTATAAATACATCTAGTAAATGTGTACAGAGGAATATAATCACATGAAAACGCTTGTTGAGAAACTACCCATTGGTAGTAATCTATAATTATTAAAAATCCTGATATCATATTAGAAATATCTTCAAGGATTACTTCTCCCATTCCATCCAACAATGAAGTAGTTAGAAAGTGTAAAGAAAGAAGTGAATATTGTCAAACTTGATTATTAAAGAATTAATGGTTATAAATTCTCACCAATACTAAAACGAAGATAGTTAACCAGTTTTGAACCAAATTTTTCTAGACCACCTTTTGCTTCCTCAACAAGAGGCATATGAAGAGAATTTAAACAAGCTCCACTTGTGTCCATAGTAATTGGAACTCTTGTTTCCTTGGCCATTTCTTCTTCACTTGTAAGAGGTCCAGGACTTTTTTCTTTAATAACTGAATCTAATTCATCCTAGAAATAGAACTATAATGAATGACTTAGAGATAATATATTCATAAAACATAAGTAATGGTAAGTGTATTGTTAGCTTATTACTCAAATATTGTTATATTAATTAAAACAGCCTAATTCGTTTGCAAACAACCTCTTCTATCTAAGCAAAAACTACAATAGCTTGAATATGAGATTAAGCAACTATCTCATCTCCTTAACTCTTCGTGCTTCTTGGCAACCAACATTTTTGATAGATACAATTGAATCTTACAAAAAAAATAATAATTTCAGTGAAATGCCTTTATCAAATTAATGATTACAAGCCATCAATAATAATGATTAATAATTATTTTCAATAATTCTTAGCATAAAAAGAGCTAAACATAAATCAAAAAGAATTGCTATTTCTTGGCTAATGTGTAAACAGAGCTTTGTTTGGTGTTATTAGAGAATTAATTTCGTTTGTTTCATTTAACAAAATTGATTTAAACAGATAAACCAAGAAACAATCCACCAGTTATCAACATAATAGCTCTTTACACATTCAGTATTTGTAGGCAAATGTGTTTACTGTCATGGCACATGACATGATATGCATGCATGAACATAATCTACACTTCGTAATAAGTTTTTCAGAATCAGGATATTTCAAATGAATAAATTAAAAGATATACAATTTTAACGATTTTCTCAAAAACAGTTCTAACGATTTTGATTAAACTCTGTATATCAGTGTATTATTAGGCAGTTTTTAATATAATGTAGTTTGTTTGTTTTTTTATTAAATTTTATAATTAATATATAATTTAATTGTACTTTTTCTAATGTAGATAGTTAAGAAAAATGAAAACAATAGCAAAAACTACCAATGCTGAGGCATGTGATTCCCTCGCAATATGACCTCCACCAAATTCTTGTCTCAAGGTAGCTTTTGTTGAGGCGTACAACATTTTTTGTCTAACAGGTGAATCGTCTGGTGACCATGAAAGCAACAACCATCTATAGCCACCAGTATCATTCTTCCCATCCAATCTGCAAAAAAGTATTAATATTCTAAAATAAAAATAATAAATCTAAGTGCATTAAATAATTACTAGACATAATATTTTTAAAATGGATAAGACATTCAAAACAAGCAAGTATAAAATTTAGTAAAGACATGACACAATCAATTTATGAATGAAAGGTCTTTTAATAGTGTGATAAGATCAAATTATGTTACTCAATAAGAATTTACTAATTTGTACTAGAATTATCTTAAAGTAACAAGTTGAAAGAACATTGTAGTGTTTTAGAGATTCTCATAATTAACATATCTCTTAATAAATCCGTTGAATATGGAATTCCTTCTAGGTAATGTGACCATATAATTTTGGGTAAATTAAGAAAGTTGGGTAGAAAAAGAGAGGATGTGGAGAACAGAGCTGAACCAAACGAATCTTCTATGTTACATGAAAGTGCTCAGAACTGCGCAGTTGAGGTGTTTGTGGTAAAGTCAGCTATTGTTCATGATGTTCTATGTTCTGCATGTCCCTTAACACTGTTTTGTTTAAGTTTCGTTTATTTTTTTAAATTGTCATTCAAGCTGTGTTACATAGACAGTTATACTAAATAGTGTGTAGAAATTCCATAGCTGTAAATTTGCCTAAGGCAGGAGAGCATAGTTCATATAATTTAGACGTTTTCTAGATCACAATAATGAACCGAAACATAAATAATATTATACTGAGGAAGTGACTAACAAAACAAAATAAATTCCTTCTTAATTTTTCTTTGGTGGGAAGGTTTCTTGTTTTATTGGCTTAGGTAATATAACTTCCTTATCATAGTGGTTTATTATTTTTTCTTGAGTTGAGGCTTGATATTATAGGAATGAAATAAAATGACTTTGTCCTCCTGAATATAATTGTTTATTCTTTCTTGCTATCAGTTTCGGTCCTTCATCAGGTTAAATAAAACATGAAAATTAACAATGGCAATAAAAACCAAAATTTGCTAAACAATCTGCAAAAAGAATAAAAACTTGACAATTAAATACAAATTAATTATCACCTAATTTATGACAGTTTTCTTCTACTTGTCAGTTGAGGAGTAAAAATTAAAATAAAACAATTATCCAGACGGGCTATCTCCATCTCTTATGTCTTGTTTTCATTGAGTATTAAGGACATTCAGGATAACACTATTTTTCATTGTTTTTTCTTAATCTATGGTTTTTCAAGAGAATAGTTTTTCCATTAAGGCATGCAATATATAGTAAGGGAAAGTACTATGATCGTGAAAATTTTCAAACCCGAGTTTTCAACGGAAATACATGTTTTGAGGTCCCCTGAATCCAAACAACCAAGTCCTGCAAAATGGTCTGTGTGAATAGTCTAGCTGAAAAATGAAAAGTCAAAAGAAACTGATATTGTGTATTTAAGATAGATATATACCTTAGATATGACAGCAATGTTTTCCTTAAAATTGGTTAACCGGAGGTGCCACTTTATATCAATGTTGAAACATATTTTTTCAATTTTCTCAAAAACGGCTCCAACCATTTTGATTAAACTCTGTGTATCATTGTATAATTAAGTGATCTTTAATATCATTGAGGTTTTATGCACATTGAAGTAACTTTACAGGGCTTAAATAACCAATTTTCATATATGTCTTTCCCTCAAGTACCTTCAATGTGGTTTATTTTGAAAATTTAACTCTTTTTTATTGACAGTAACTATAGAAAATGGCTAAATATAACTTTTGAAAGAATTCGCTAATTGAATAAAGGAGTAAAAAAGAAAAATTCTTAACCAGGTCAAAAATGAATCTCCTGAAATAATAGACAAAAGGTATACGAATAATATATTGTTGGAAAGCAAAGAATTTTAGAAAAAATAATATCAAATAAATAAAGTGACAAAAAAAATATAAATAATAATTCCAGAAAACTAACATTTTTCAACATGAATCACATGTTTCCAAGGAAATTAAATGAAATTTTCTTACTAAATGTAAACTTTTAATTCTTTTTCTAAATTTGAAAAAAAGGATTTAAAATCCACCGAATCAAGCCAATGCCATTGTTTAAAATACTATTTCATTGTACTTGTATGAAAGAAGAAGCGAAATATAAAAATATTTCATATATATGTTTATAACTTTAAATACATTTACTGTAGTTTAATAACTCTAGATATGATATTATATTAAAATAATTAGGTAACTATAGGCCGTTTATTCCAAAAAATCATCAAGCTACTTTTTAAAAAATTAAATTGGTGAATAATTTGATGAATTTTACTTTTGTGAAATCCCAACATCATATCATACACTTGTGTGACAACTTTTGAGCTATCCATGGCAGGCATTGAAAATCTCGTAATTTCATTTTAGTAAACTTTGCAATGAAAAATAACAGTTTGGCGAAGGTCCCAGTACATTATCAGCCGTTCCCTGCATTGCAGTCACACAACTGGACCAGAGAGATTCTATGTTTTCCAAACTACAGCCTGAACACGGAGGTTTTCATTTAGCTGCTCAATGCTGTTTGGTATCGGGCTACTGTAGTTTTCCAAGATTATAATACTAAAGTCTTACAGCCAGGCCTTCAGACCTTTTGAAGGAGATCTTCAAAGAGTCCTATATGGGTTGCTGGATTGTTTCCCTATGTGAAAATTGATATTCGAGGCTGATTTTGGTTTCGATAAATATAAGCTTCAGGTAGGAGGACTTCTAATCCCCACTCCATACCCTAGCCCTAGTATACTGGTGGGGCTGCCACCTTGGTGCTTATATACCTGCACTCCCATCTTGGGAGGCTACCAAGGGACGGTGACCCAAGGATGTGTAATATAAGTGACCTTAGTTTACAGTGTGGGGGTGAGTGTCTTGTGCTGTACTTAGTGTGTGTGTCAGTGTACTGTTCCCCAACCTGGAGGGCCAGAGGCTATCTGCAGTCCTATAATGAGGCCGCAACCTCCCTACACCAGAATTAATGTATGTAAGGGACAAAAAAAATTTTCCCAAATTTTTCTCTTACGATTCCCAGTTTTCAGGATGGTCCTTACTTAAAAAACCTTTAACATAGTAAGGGTTATTCATTTATACAGCTCATATATATATATATATATATATATATATACATATATATATATATATATATATATATATATATATATATATATATATATATATATATTTGTGAGATACATTGAAAATGTGGTATGGATATACCCCCAGATATATCCAATCTAGTGAGGATCGTAAATCAATAAGATGATAAACTTCACAATAACTATCACCAGTAATCAATTGGCATAACAACAGTGAAGTGTAAACAATTTAAAGACAACTTCTTGATGGCAATGTTTTGAAATGAGGGGATCTTACAAATTCATGTTGAAAATTTTAAGTTATGTGTCAATGTTTCCAATTCTACAATTAGCAGGATTTTTAACTTAGTATGAGATGTATCAAACTTCATTTTTTGGACATTTTTATACTAAAAAAATTAACAAGCACCTATCCTTAATTCGTAAAACACAAAACTGAATTGAGAATTTCTAATAAATTAACATAAAGAAAAAAAGGGAAAAGCGTAATGGCTAGAATGGAGAAGGAAAAAAAAAAAGGAATCCAAGTGATTAAATGAACAATGATAAAAGAGATTTAAAAGAATTAACTTAATATTTGAAAAATCAACAAGTATTAATACATCTTTGTGTTTTGTAATCTTAGACCAAAATCAGAAAAAGTAATCATTATTGGAGGAGAGTAATTTGAATTGGTTCAACTCAATGAAACTAATGGATTATTTTCAAAATGAATGCCAACCAGGTTCCATGAATGGCATGTTGTGAATTCAGTCATTCAATGGTTATAAATAACAAATTAAAAATAGTAACCTGCACATAACATATGTTGGTTGATCATTTTCCAGAAGTTTATTTATGTTTTTGCGAAAATCATCTTCCCAGGTACCTTTGCTTTCAATTTGTGCAGCAAGTGTCAATTCCTCTGCAATAATTTCAAGAGAATTAAGAAATATAAACAAAGATAGACAAATATTAGATTTCCAAAACCTTACCATTTTCTATAGTAACTTTAAACAACCTTGTCTTTCCATTGTGACATTTGGCAAAGAATTTCTTCAATTTCTCATTAGCTAAAACAATTGATAATAATTAGCTCTCGTTAGAGGAGGATATGGTCATTTAAGAGACCTTAAACAATTATGCCTACTTACCCTTGATTCCTGTCTGATGAGACATTTCTGAAACGTATGTTTAAAATGTTATTTACAATGATTGTTACAAAAATTATTTGTCCGGGCACAGCCTAAAACATAACAAAAAAATAAAAACTTAACGAAGGTTGGGGAATAGTGGAACCCAACGAATCCCCGAGTTTAATCACTATCGATACTGTCCTGATAGAACACATAAAAAGTATTCTAATGATATTTATTCCTCTTTGTAATTATATTTATTCCTCAATTTATTATATTCTCCATTGGATTAAAATTATAGATGATCAAATGAAGATCAACACATTAATCACCATAAAAATGTATTAGATAAATTTCATAAATAAATAAAGTAACAATAGCAGAACCAGTACCGGTCTCTAAAAATTGGCACCCCCAGGGAATGACGGCATCTCCTCCTAAAAAAATTAAATCTAGTTCTTAAGCTGTTTTATATTGCATAATATTTGAAATTTATTTTATTGGACACGCCTCTAATACATTTGCTTTATTGATGAGCTAAAGTTAATTTTGTTAATACGTTTTATATTTATTTTTATTTAATTTCTAACAAATAGCAAGCACCCTTGAAGATCAACCAGCGCCCCAGGGTAGTTTTCTCGTTTGGCCCACCCTAATGTCGGCAGTCAGAATATGAAGTGGCTGGCCCTGGAAAATATATATTCCTTTCCGCTTTGGATCTTTTTCTTGTAAAACACTATTACCATCTAGGAGAAGCTTAAGAATCCCTTAGGCTTATAAAAGAGGAGTGAGCAAATTATGGTAAAACCCAACATGGTTCCATCGCTATTTATGGCAACCGTAGGCCTTTAGTCTTTACACTACCATAGTACGGTGGCATAAGGCTAATGCAAACATAGCCAGGGCCCTGCTTGGAGAATTATAAGTCCTTGTGTGATTTTTTTTATGTACAACTGGCACCATGAGCACCACTACTACTGCTGCTACGGAAGTAAAAATCTACTGTACTGATGGGTCCCGGACAAAACAATGTTCAGATACTGGTGTATGGAGCATACAATAAATAAACCAAGGGATGTATTTCTACCACAGACCTCATAGCCACCGTGATGAAATTTCATTCCAATTCTACTGGTCTAGATGACATTCCCGTCAAATTGTGCCTACCTTTCCCGTTCTCCTTTCCATCTATAATTTTTCCCTTCAGAACTGGGGATTTCTGACCTCTCGGAGAAAAAAGCCATTGTTCGTCCTTAACTTAAAATCCTAACCCTTCTTCCCCCAAAGATTTCTGCTCAATCTCAATCCTTTCTAACCTGGAAATAAGTGCAATCCTTAGTTTCAAATTTTCTCGAACAGTTCAATCAGTATGACCCTTGCCAATCTTGTTTTCGACCAGGTTACTCCACACATTCCGCATTATCAAAATCATTAGTTGTGTTCAGTCCACCATATGTGACAAAAACTGTTTTCGTACTCCTTGACTTTTCAAAACTCTTTGATACTATTAACTATCCCATCCTTATCTCCAAATTAAAGTCGTTATTCTTTTCCAACACTTCTATCCTTTGGTTTCAATCTTTCCTCTCTCAACGTAACTTTTCCTAACAAACCCTTGCCTTTCTATCTTATTCTGTCCTCAGTAGTGGCACAGAGCTCTAGCATATCTCCTCTTCCTTTTAGTTCCTATATTTACAACCTTCATAAATCAATCCTTTACTGTTCCCATCACCTTTATGCCGATGATTTCCAAATTTAACTTTCCTTCGTTCCCATTGAGTGATATGACGCGTTTGCCAAAATACAAGAAATCCTAAATCGGATCTGTGCATGGGCAAATGTAAATGAATTAAGGTTAAACGCTGCTAAAACCCAAGCCATTGTCATTGGTTTCATACCCCTTCTCAGATCCAATACCAACATTCCTCTCCATTTACCTAAATGATCATCCCATCACCTTCTCCTCTTCAGTTAAAAACTTCGGCATTTTCATAGACCGTACCCTTTCCTGAGAACACCGTATTTCTCACATTTCCCGACGTTCAATTTTTGCCCTGGAATTATCCGTCATCTCCTACCCATGTCCACACATAGACTCCTAGTGTCAGCCCACATCTTCCCCACCTTTACTATAGCTGCGTGGTACAGGGTGACATCTTGTAGAAAATTGATGATGTCAACTCTTCTACTAGAAAGAATCCAAGAATAAGTAATTTTCTAAATATAACAGGCTCAAAATTCTTCTCCCTGTAATGAGAGAAGTATTGGAAACAGTCACGAACCTTTGACCAGTCCTGTTAATATGCGGAAACCTATGCGGAAAAGCCATACTGAAAGTACGTCTTGACATAGAAGAGAAGGTGGCGAGGAGACATTATGATTCCCCTGATCCGACTTTATCTCAGCTCTTGACATCCTGTTGTAGCCGTTCGTCACCAGCAGTTCCTGAAAACCATAGCAACTTATACGGCTGGGCGAGAAGCTACACTATAGAAGAAGAAGAAGATACTATAGGCAGAGGTTGTCTATAGAGCTCTGTTTTTAATTAATATCTTCCCCTCATCCTCTGGTCCGGGAAAACCCCGTATAGCCTAAAAAGCGATAAGAAAAAAAAAAACTTTGGACTACACAAGAATTAGGGTTTGATTGGCCCTAGGTGGACTCAGTTTTGTAGGGGCCTTCTGGAATCTCAGATACCCAACAACGATGACTACATACAACAGAATAATTCTGGATAATCTAAGGTATTCGTCCCCAGCCTGGAACCTAAACCTAAAGTTATTACCGATTTCATTGAATGAATTCAAATCTACAAGATATTACAAAAACCAAAAGACGATTTCTGTAAAGAAGGCCAAGTAAATTTGTGTTAAGAAAAAGCGTAAAACATATGCTTTAACACTCATAAATATGAACTTGTAATGAAATAAAAAATATATAAATTTATGGACTTGGAAATCGAAGGGGCCGATGCGTAAATATTGAGAAAAACATCTTTATTTTTCGATTCCTATAAAAATTCATATTTAAGGATTTCCAAGGTGTGAAAAAATATTTTTTTTTTCACAGTAAGATTTTTTTTTTTTTAATCGTATCTAGAATAAAACTAGATGCACAAAACCAGGTATATTGCCCCTGTTTGTTCTCCCTCCCCCCAAAAAAGTGGTGCGGTGCGCCCATCATCCAACTTTCACTTACCACACTTTTCTTGGCAGAAATAAATATTTTCAGACAAAGGGGAAGTGAAAATAAAAATTATAGAAGTTATATTTATTTATATTTCATTGTGGGTATTTTTAATTGTATAAGTACTCTCATATATACAATTTTTAATATTTATATCTCTGTTATCTATACTATTAAATATTAAATAATACCAACAATAACATTCATGAAAACCACATATGTATATTTATATAATATTGTCGGATTCCGTATTATATTAATCTCATGATACGTATGGAAGCGTATTCTAATCTTTCGGGCGAGCTCGGGTGCGATCGTATTCCTTTGGCTCATCAATTACAACTATTCTCCGTTACGATCTCTTATTTCTCCTGTAGTTAATTATCAAATTCTTTCATATTTTATATTTATCTGTCTTTTATATTAGAGATTAATATCAAATGGTCAATTGTTTCAAATAAAAAAAAAATGAAAGGTACTTTATGAGAAGCTAATATTTAAAATTAGCCATTTAAGTCCTGTTGGAAAACATCAATCAGAATAAAACTAGCATTATATTTAAAACAGCTTAATTTTACACTGATTATAATGAATTAATCAAAATCGTTAGAGCCGCTTTCGAGAAAAACGAAATAATGTGTTTAGTACACGATATAAGGTACCGCTTCCGGTTAGCCGATTTTGACGAAAAAGTTGCTGTAATATGTCAAGCATATAAAAACCTTAAATATGCAATTTCACTTTCGTAAGACTTCGTTTTTGAGCTAGACTGTTAACACACACACACACACTATTCTTCGGGACTTGATTATTTTGACTCATGGCATCTCAAAACGTGTCTTTCCGTTGAAAATTGGGATTTCCTCACAATTCCTCCCTTAACTATATATTTCATATATAGATAAGTGTAAGTAATATTATATAATATACATTGTTGATATTATACATGATCAAAACATCCAGCTCCCATAAAATATTTTTACTTTCACTCCCGCAAAATGGTCTGTGTGTGTGTGTATGTCTGTGTGTTAACAGTCTAGTTCAAAAACAAAGTCTTACGAAAGTGAAATTGCATATTCAAGGTTTTTATATGCTAGGGATTACAGCAACTTTTTCGTCAAAATCGGCTAACCGGAAGTGGCACTTTATATAATCGATTTAACACATTTTTACGATTTCCTCAAAAACAGCTCTAACGATTTTGATTAATTCATTATATCATTCATTCTGATGTTATTGACCTCACATTAACAGAAAATGACCAATACCACTTATGGGTATCAGTATTATCATAGACACCTGGGCACCCCCAGGCAATGACATAATTTTATCCAAAAAAAAAAAAAAAAAATTAATTCTTAAGCTGTCTTGTATTATTTAATATTTGAATTGTACAACATTTAATAATTCTCTTGCTTTATAAATAAGTTAAAATTAAAGTATCTCCTATGCTTTTGTATTTTTTATATTTTCGGAGTGGCACTCCTCCAGGCAGAGATGCTGTGGCACATGCCCAGGGATCCTGCCTAAAGGCCCAGCACAGATGATAAAACAAAAGGTGAACTCTTAATTTATTCCAAAATATCGTTTAGCTCTTTTTAACACCAAGCAATACAATTATGAAATTGGTAAAGACAAATTTCATTTAAAACAAATTAAAACTTTTATTGACCATTTTAGTTATAATACATAAAATGTATAACTATTAATTTTAAAAAATCAACTAAGATAGGCACATAGATGATTTTATTTAATTAATTATTGGCAAGTAAATCTTACTAATAAAATTATAACTTGCAACAATTTTTTTAAATTAACATAATGTATAAAAACCACCACAATGCACAGCATTAATAACAAAATATATATTTAAGAAATTAATATTTCATACATAATGCTGTTTTAATCACCATAATAATTGTGATTTAGAAAAAAGTTCTAAAAATTTCAATGAATCATTCAAATCAACAGAATTTCTTTATTAACATAGAACTGTATACCATTTAATTTTAATTTTTAATACGTCTACTGTCAGTAAGTATTCTGGTATGAAGTAAATAACTAAATTTACAGCAATTTAACTTTTGTTTCATAATAAAGAATCCCCTTTCTTTAAATCTAATTTTATAGTATTATAAACATTTCATTGAATAACTTAAAAACCATGATATAGTTTTAGATTAAAGTTAAATGATAACAAGAAGTCTAATTAACATTATTAAAATGTTTTTAAAAATACTAACATTTTTAGTAAATAGATTAATAGTTTAAAATTATCACATATAATAATATAACATTTTACATTAAAACAAGCTATGGTAACAAGATATATATATATATTCGTTGTAACATAAATGTATTTATATTAATCATAATAAAATAAATATTTCATATAAAATTATTAACAAACAATGCTAGAATATATTCTACACTTTGATTTTCCATCTGCTACAATATCTATTGATATTATGACTTTTAAAAATAATAAATCAGTCTTTCATACCATTTATATATAAAAATCATAAAAAGATGTCATGTTTTCTTAGGCAACATAAGATATTCAGACATAAATAAATGTCATGCAAACAATTGCTCTTTCATAGGTAAGATTCACAAAGTGACCTACAATTAATTTTTTGGCTATTTTTGGCACATGTAATGTTTGTACAGTAATTATGCTTCACTACTAGATGGCTCTTGCTTTAAATCGATAAACAATTCTTCCCCTCCAGAATCTGGCTCATCATAACTTTTCAATATTAATACATCCTCGTCTTCATCTGAAAACAGTACTATATTTATTTGCTAATCAAATGTGAGTGCAAAAAAAGTTACTTTTACTGCTTTATTAAATTTTTTTCCTTATTTTAACATAAGTGTGGGATACCAAGGAATAATGAAGGAAAATATATTGTAGCACTTCAAACCTCATTATCTCTTAATACTGATTTATGCATACTAATAATAACAAAAGTTGTTTGAGGGCAAGACTATTAAGAACATTAAAAAAATGTCACAAGAATCAATAAATTAATAAAATATAATGATAGAGTTTGGCCTAAGACTTAGCAGTCTCATAGAAGGTCTTAGAACTGCAGATAGCCACTGGCCCTTCAGATTGAGGGGAACAGTATACCAACACTCATAAACATACACTGATCAAAGCACACTACACACACCCCCACATTGCATACCAATGTCAATAACAGTACTAACCTTAGAAGAGAAAGTGGGCGAATGCATGTGCACAGCACCAAACGTTGCCTTGCAACCCAGGTCAAAGAAAGTTAGATAAAAATGATTACGAGTTCATGTCCCAGTGCCCTCACCCACAAGCCTGGGAAAGCCCCATATAGCCTAAAATGCTGGGAAGGGGTGGACAAAAAAAAAGTGTTAGCCTTAGATATCTAGGTAGCTGGTCCATTTGGGAGAATGAGTCGAGGAGCTCTGAGGAGGCAGCCCCTTTATCTGACTCCGAGGTAGTTGCCTGGTCACTATATCTGTATAAATTTAATTTATTAAAAAATGCTTGGAGGCGAGGTGTTAGAGTAGTTTAACATGTGTGCAAAACATGAGTTGCCTGGAAACCAACCAAATGATAAACCCAAGTTTATAAGATAAAAATAATTAGGAGTTCGTGTTCTAGTGTCAGGGGGCTTTTTTCTCTGGAATTAATCCCCTGCCATTGCCCCTTGGCCAAAGAAAACACTGTATAGCCTAAAAGGCGAGGAAGGGGAGGACAAAAAATAAATAGTTTATTGCAAAAAACAGCCAGATAGATTTTACTGAATTCATCTGGGATTGAAAATGTTTTTTCAATATGTGATCTAGAATGTACGAGCGCTAAATAGGGAAGAGTATGAGACTATAGAGGAGATAAAGAAGGTCAAAATAAATTTCATTGAAATTACAGATATGAAGAACAAAAAATGAAAAGAAGTTAAAATCTAAGACTACACTCTCCTTAATTCTATAGTTAATGAGAATGAAAAGCAGCTGGTGATGTCAAAATATTATTCCAAAACAACTGGTTTCTGTGATGAACTAGTAATTTGAGAGTTGCAGTCTGTAAGAAAGGATGGATAGTTCAATGAGTTCCAAGACTAGTTTTTATCCTCAGATCTGTATATATCTTATACATCTCTACAAATTGTGCAATGACATTATAATTTACACAAAGTTGTTTTTTGAAACACCAATATTATGATGATTACTCTTTAAAGAAGAAAAGTCATATACAGGGTCAGCAATCAAGTGGGCATTCTGATCATATTTAATAAAATCCAAGGAAAATATCTAGAACATGCTCTAAGCTATAAAATCTATGTCAAGCATCCAGTCTGGTAAGTTTTTAGTTTATAAATATAGTTCAATTAATATTTCAGTTAATGTGTTGGGTGATAGTTCAGTTATTTAGTAGTTATAGAACTTTAAGTCAGTGAATAAGCAAGTGATTTTCAATGATGTTGAATTATTTAAGAAGTCATTAGGGATATGATTATATTATTTTATCAAGAGTCAATTTTATTTTTATTTATTTATACAAGACCTCCAGTAAGCATTGCGTATAAGATAATAATTATAATTGTAATTAATTGATGATAATAATCAATAAATTGATAAATTTAGTAGCAGTTGTTAATCAAAACCATCTAAAACACATATTATTATATTTGGTGACCTGAACAACTGGAACTCAAAAATTGTAATAATTATTATTATTATTACAACAGTGATTCATTTGCCTATTGGTCAGAAATAAAAACATAATAAAAAATATATGACAGTAAACTGAAGCACATCATTCCTTTTAAAATTTAAAAATGTTCCCAAACTTTATAGAAAATAACTTGAAAAACATTAACAATTTATAAATTTTTATAAATTTAAAAAGTTCAAAACAAATTTATGTTTTTAAATATAAAATTTTAAATTTAGTAATATCCAATCGTGTAATGATAAGCAAAAAACTAAAAGAAACAATAAGTAATTGTAAATGATGTAGAGATGGTTGACCGTTGATATAATATGAGAAGGAGTTGATCGGGGGTGTGGTCAAATAAATACTAAATTAAACAAGTAGAATTATTCAATTTAATAAATAGTAATAAAATTATTTAATTCTAAATTAAATAATTCTACTTGTTTAATTTAGTATTAATTTGACCGCACCACCCTCTCTCCCCCCCTCCTCCCCCCCCCCCCCGATCAACTCCTCAAATAATTGTAAAATAAGATTGGTCAATAAATTAAATATCAACATATTAAAAAAAGAAAAGAAAAAAAATATCTGACTTACAGGCAAATGAATCATTATAAAAAGAACAAAGGTCAGTGCACCTGCATAATGAAAAATAATAATAATTATTATCATTATATATGACCACCTTATAATTTGTTATAGGTTTAAAGTTAATACACCTAAGTACTAGTGACATTTTGCTCAAATTAAACACTATTGAAAAAGTAAAATCAGTTTGTGACACAACTTAACTAAATTTGCATACATGCATGTCATATACATATAACATAAGATTGACAAGGACATAGTTTCACATGATTGCACTCTTAGTAAAATAAAATAAATATCTAAACAAAGAAACTCACAAATATGTTACAATAAGCATGAAAATTTTCTTAAATTGCAATATTGAAAATTCAAAATAGAAAGCAAAGATATATAATGAAAAATGAGAGTGTAAGAAATTCAATAGAAATAAGTTAATAGTAGCTACATTGAACAAATGAAAATTCTCTAGGTCTCTTAAAAGTGTATAGAATAAAAACAATACTTTAACTACTATGAATAAGTTAATAAATTTAAATTTACACAGGAGCTTACTTTAAAATACAAGTTAGTTGGACACATCATTACTGGAATTCTGGAAGAATTTAATTTAAAAAAACAAGGGTAACTAAAGGTTTCAACATAATGATAAGTGAATGAATATACATTAATTGTAACAATCACAAACACATGGACAAACAGGATCTGAAAAACAAAAAAATATGCACCTTGAAGCATCATAGCAGTTATTAAGCTGACAAAACACAGCTTCTTACAAATAATACTATACCTTCTTTCAAGCTGTGCACTTTCTTTGGGTTAAAAACAGGAGAAATTTTTTCTTTGAATTTCTTATATAATAATTCTCTACCTGTAATGATTAATTTAAAAATTATTAAATTATACAAACTATTTGTATGTATTCACCCAATTTAAAATCAAGACCACAGTAGCAATAATTTAGGTTCTTGGTCGAATTTTTGTTTACACTGAAATCTCTAATACCGGACTATATTTATTTATTACAATTTAAGCCTAATAGGAATAATTTAAAAACAAATATCTACAAAAGAAAATTTCTCTACATTAATTTAAACTTCAAGTTTGACATTTGAAAAAATTCCTTGATTAGTTTTCAGCCACATGAAAAATAAAATCTAGAAAGATAAGTAAAACATATTGTCAAGATAAATAGAAGTCTCATACAATCAAAGGCTGAGGGCTAAATAAGTAAAATAAAACAATATTAAAAAAGGAGCAAAGTCATGTGATCTATGCTATTGTAATCCAGAAACCTGTAAATCAGAATTCAAGTTCTATGTTCTTACCATATGACCACATTCAGTTTTTAAAAATAATAATTGATTCATTCATTCATTATTGGCGCATCAGACAAATGTAGCAGTCCTTGGCCTGCTCAATTTTCTTTGCCCATTCATCCCTGGTGGCCGCACACTTGATAGATATGCCATTCTTTCTCAAATCTTCTTTTATGTTATCTATCCATCTTGCCTTTGGTCTTCCCCTAGACCTAATTCCCTCTGGTTTCCCATGATAAAGATTTCTAACTGTCCTCACTTTATCCATTCTCAGGACATGTCCTGATCATTTCATTCGCTGAACTCGAGCGAATTGGGAGATAGACAGATCACTGTACATTGAGTATATCTCCTTGTTTTTTCTCAAGTGGAACATTCCTTCCTCCAGTTTAGGTCCTATTATCTGTCTTAGGATTTTCCTTTCAAACCGATTTATTGGTCCTGCAGATATCTTTGTTAGAGTCCATGTCTCCCTCGCATATGTTGCAACTGGCCGAATAATCGTTTTGTATATCCTAAACTTGGTTGTACGACTCAACAATCTACTTTTCAGAAGGCTAGCTAGAGAAAAGTACACTCTGTTGGTAGCCATTATTCTATCACCTATCTCCTCCTCTTCGTTATTACTATCATTAATTACGGACCCGTGGTAGGTGAAGCTTGATACAGCTTAAAAAATATGGTTTCCCACTACATAGTGCTGTGGTGGATGGACGAGCTTTTTCTTCCTTAAAACAAGGATCTTGGTTTGCTTTCTTTGACACATAGCCCCATTTTACCTGCCTCATCCTCTAACCTACAGAATGCACTCTTCACTGCTTGAAATGAATGCCCAGTGATGACCACATCGTCTGTATACAAGAGCAATTGAGTCATTCTGTGGAATATTGTTCCTTCACTATTCAATCTTGCCCTTCTGATGATGGTCTCTAGGATAATATTAAAGTGGAGTATTGAGCATATAAAGGAGCCTTTAAGGGATGGAGGATGCAGGATAATGGTGTTAAGGATGAACTCTCAGATTTGGGTAAAGATGGAGGAATTCAGAAAGTGATTACAGATGGGATGCCTTCAAACCATTGGGTACACTGAAGCTTTTATTATAACTGAAAAGTTTATTTCTTTTAAAACATTTTTGGATTAATTTTCATTTGATAGATAGGATGTGGTATATTTGATACAAATATCTACCAATATTTGAATGAAATTGATCATCAAATGGTATGTTTTTAGCAATCAAAAAGTAGCTACAGTAAATATTACTAATGGATTTGATTTTTTCTAGATTATTTCGAAATTCTGAATCTGTAAAGTTAATATCAATGTTAAATAAATTAAAATATTGAATATTTAGTAAATATCTTTTCACTATTTCAAATTATTTTATGACTACTACTCCAGACCATCTTTTCCTCATTATACAAACGGTAAACCACCGAGCACCCAATATCAATGACATAATTATTCAACTCAAGCATTAAAATTAAATTTCCAGAATTTTTAAAAATATTTTAACAGTAAAGTTAGTTGGCACATTTGAGGTTTAACTTTGTAATGAAAATTATGTAATAATAGGAATAAAAAATAAAATTACCTGTCTCTTCATTGGTTCCATAGAGTTGCCAGTAAGATAATACTGATATAAACAGAATTACTGTTAAATTAAAGGCGGTCCCAAAAATTGCAGATGTGACAGGCCAATGGAACATAATATACCTAAGACCAGAGAGATCAGCATCGATTTGAATTTTTGAGGAATAAATTTCAACTTTTTGAGATTTTATTTCAATGACAACATCAGTGACAGGATAATTCTGTAAACAGTTTTCAATTTCAAAGAAGTTATTATTAAATAATGTTATATTTGAAGAATTGTCATAGAAATGAACCAAGAATAAACTTAGGGTTAAATAAAAAATATATAGGGAGTATTAAGACAAGTGGTCCACAAATCAGGAGATGATTCCATTTGCAACAAAAAAGTTTGTATAGACCATAGTATGGTTCCGTAAAGAAAAGCAGTAAATCTAAGAATTATATTTTTCAAGAAAGATGCATTTTTGTTTACTAGGAAGCAATAACTAAAACAACTATTAAATTTATGTCGTTATAAATACAGCATCATTAACTAGACAAAATTTTCTTTAAATGAAAGAGGAATTTCTATTTGTTAAAACATTTTATGGGGCTAAACTCAGTCCTGTCCCATAAAATCATGAATTATTTGTGATATTTTTATTTCATTTTTTTGTTTAAAACTTTGTGAGTTAGATTAGACCTTGGTCAATTAATTTTTACTTCTCGGTGGCAAAGAAATTAATGACACTCCCATTCTGGTTAGTAAGCGGCGGCAACCTCTAAGTAGCCAAAAAAGGACGACAAGGCTCAATGGCTGGACTAGTTCCCCTCTGAAGTATCAGCACCATCTTACAAAAATAAATAAATTATGCTTAAATGGAGCGTGTTAATATTTAATTTTTAAATCTAAATATTAAAATTTATTAACATATGTTTTTCCAACCTATAAATGACTTGCAATATTTCCACTTCTTCAACTCCATGCACTTCTTCAACAAAAGTATGGTAAAAGTTTACATTTAGTCTCGAAGTTCAGTTTAGTTTACAGAGGAACATTTCATCTCGGTTAAATAATATTAGTTTTCAAAAATGATTATTCATTAGTTTTTCATTAATCTGCCTTCTATGAATTTAAACTTGTCATATCCATTCATTCATTTAAGTGTATTGTATTAAATATTAAAGTTTCCGGTATCTGGAATCGAGCACAAGTAGAAGAGAGAAGCCTCATTTACAGGTAATTTCATATAATTTTTCTTAAATATCTTGGTAAATATTTAATTTAGCCTAGAACAATTCGTGTATCAAATTAAACTAGAGCAGATTATTTTCATAAAAGGCCCTATTCATTTTTCCTATAGGCTATAATTTTGGAGATAGAGTTGAAGGTTTGAATTTATTATGTTTATACCATTCCCTTTCCAGTCTTGGTGTTGTTAGTTGCTATAGATTGAACCTCTTTAGGCAATACTAACAGGTCTACATCCTTACTAACTTGTTTCAATTGTTTCAAAAGATTCACGAATAATTTGAACCATCTAACTTAAAAATCAGTCGAGCAGCTCATTCAATTTATTAAAAACAAATTAATAGTTAATAGTAAAAAAAAGGCCTTTTCAGTCTTGATAATAATTAATTTATTTCAAATTTATCCAAATTTTTGTCTCTTCAGGGATAATCTGATTTTACATGTAATTTAATTTTTCATTCGCATATAGCAGTGCACCCACTTGCACACTTAATCAAAGAACACAACCGAATGACAATTTTTAAATATTTTTTTTTTTAAAAAGGATCATGTTTTCTGTCAATTTTTCTTTGTGGAAACAGGCTATGGCTTACATGAACATTTTTTGTTGTAAGAGCAGTGTGAAATATCCTGACCAATGGTCTGCTGAACCATGTGCACCATATATTTAAAAATATATGAAATGATAATAAACTTATTAAATGGGCATTCTATATTTTTAATAATAAGATGAATTATATAGACCAAGGATTTGAAAGGTTAAAATAATAAAAGAACAAAGTTTTACTTATGAACATGCTAAATATAAAATAATTGCATGACTTAAAAAAAAAAATGGTTTTGAAGAGATCAATATGAAATCCAGTAAAAATAAGAAAAAAAATAAAAAAAATATATATATACAAAAACCTGGTCATCTTCAAAATTTGAGAAAAGTTCAACTTCAATTGTCTGTTTTTCTTCCAAGACTTCTGTAACATACAACGGTGCAAGTGCCAGTGTTGTAAGGGTGTGTACAAGAGGACTTCTATACCTAAGCATCGCAGAACGACAAGACATTGACACTGTAACACTTTTTTTGTCTAAAAGTTGAGCACAAACCATAAACATACCTAAAATGAAAAATAAGTAATTACTAAGAAATGAGAAATGATAAAAATGATCTCATGATGATAAGAATAATGGCTTACCAACAGCTTTGTTGGCATCTGACTCAGGTATTTCAAGAAATAAAGTTATTTTATAGGGCTGACCAAGCATAAATACTTGGTTTGCTTTTGTGAGTTCTACATGAGCTCGCAAAAAACTACACACTCCTCTTTCCACATTATCTTTTTCTGCCTCACAAGCACTAAAATCAGATAATAGATTGAGAATAACGCATATCTTATTAACTAAAACTACTTGAATATTAATTCTTTACAAATCAAAACTGAAACATCCAAATTTCTTCAATTGAATTTAATTGTATAATAATACTATTACTATTATAATACATACCATTCATTGGGAATTTATGAATTAATAAACTAATGACTAAACCTTCAATTTTTAAAAACAAACTTTCATTAAACAGATCAACTGTATCCTCACTAACTATTTTTTCAGATGGAGAGAAATACTTTATTGAAAGTATTCCCTTCCCTACTACATAGTGTTGCTTTATATACAGCATGCTAATGGACATAACTCTTACATTACATTATTCTATTTTGATATATAAAGTAGATTGACCCTGAAGTTGGGATATTCTCTTGGGACCCAGCCTCCATAAAGTATGTACTCTTAATTAACCAAGGAAAACCTTGGTGTTGAAGTATAATTTCGACCAAATCACCTCTTTGCGCAGTGGTTAGCATGGAATACTTTGTTAGAAAGTATTGAATCTAAACCCCTTCATGGTAAGTAATTATAGTTTTTTTTATAGGTAGTCATCTATGATTACTATATAGGTAATAGTCATAGTATTATTCAATGCAGTGAATAAGTGATATTGTATAAGACTTAGTTTATAAAAAGGGAGGAATAAATATATATAAAGTAAAAAAGATCACAATGGTTCATTATTGAAAATAATAAACCCAAAACTATGATTACTACCCATGAAGGGTTTTAGATTCAATACTTTCTAAGAAAGTACTCCATGCTAACCACTGTGCAAAGAGGTGATTTGGCGCAGATTATACTTAAACACCAAGGTTTTTCTTGGTTAATTAAGAGTACATACTTTATGGAGGCTGGGTTCCAAGTGTCAATCCACTGTTGATTTAACAGAATAAATAATAATCTGCCAGAAGTAGGCTTGAATCTGGTACTGAGAGATAGTGCAGAGCGAAATTAATTTGACAAGTTGTCTTGTCAAATAAATGTATATACCAACTGAGGTCATAAACAAAATCATACAAATAAAATTATCTTAATTCCTTCTTAAATATATGTCACCAATATAAAAGAAGACTATTCAACAATATAAAATGTAACCTAAAGATTAAAATATTATGGAATGTTCAATTACTGACAATGGTATTTATAATTTAATAAAAATAAACACAGGATCAATAGTTTTTAAATTGTTAATTCAAAGTATATAGAGAGTAACTTACAGTTCAAAGCATAGTGTAATATATATGAACTCAGTAATCAATAGCAATTAAAAATTTCAATTCACACAATAAATGATTTTTAAAACTTACGTAAATTGTAAATTAACATTTTTTACGTGTTCTATGGAAGGCACATAGGTATAATAAAATGCTACATAGAAGAAAACTGAAATCCAAATTGTAGTTACAATAAATAAAATAAGTAATCCGACTTTAAAAGCAGTATCCAATGTTATATTTGCCGTTTCGATCGTTCGTAATTTATAAAATTCCACCTTTCTCGAAATCGCATTCTTAAAAAACATTTTTCATTCAGATGAAACTTCTCATTCCTCGTATACATGAATAATTAAACTATGAACCCTTTTGATCCTTAATCCTTATCAGTTAAAAAGAAACAACTTTTGGTTGCCGATAAAAACCGACACTTAACGAAAAAGTTATCAGTCCTGATAAGGAACTTAACCTTTTGAGAGCGTTATTATAAGTTACATATAAGGTTACTCTCAATTCATTATTTATTTTTATTTTCTCCCCCTATTAATACAATCATGACAAACCTTTATGGTTTACTGATATTTATCATGACCATTTATTTCACCATAATTTAAAATATTTAAAGAGTAATTTTAAACTATAGCATTGAAGGTTGCAATCCAGAATAAATGATCAAACTATATATTGTTCAGAAATACCTGCCTTAACTTAAGTTTTTTTAATAATGAAGTATACATATTTATTTTTTTAGAGAGAATAATTGTCAAAGATGATGTAAATATGTTTATGTGTTCGAATAAAGATTGACAGTGGTGTATGTAGAGAGGGGGGGAGTACGGTTCTCTCCGTGATACTCTCACTAAAGGGGACCCACTGCAGGGTTTATTACTTTCATTTACCTATATATGAAATATATAGTAAGGGACAGTATTGCGATCGTAAAAATTTTCGAATCTGAGTTTTTAACGGAAATACATTTTTTTGAGGTCTCCTGAGTCCAAATAACCAAGTCTCGCAAAACGGTCAATGTGTGTGGGTATGTATGCACTAGCGGATCCAGTCGGAAGCGCGCCCCCTCCTCCTTCCTCCCTCGAAGATGGAAAATAAATTCAAAAAAAAGTTTCAAAAAACAGCTATTTAAAGAAAACAGAAATACAGGGAAAATTCATCCTCATTGACAAAATTTCTAATTAATATTAAAAAAAAAATATTATGAACAGCACTAGTGATTTTTGCCAGGGGGCTCTCGCCCCGCCCTCGTGGATGGTGGAAAAATAATCTTGAGAAAAGTTCCAAAAAACAGCTACTTAAAGAAAATAGAAATATAGAAATATTTATATATATATATATATATATATATATATATTATATATATATATATATATATATATATATATATATATATATATATATATATATATAGAGAGAGAGAGAGAGAGAGAGAGAGAGAGAGAGAGAAAATTCATCTTCCAAGGCAAATTCACTAATGATATAAACAAATTATTATCATGACCAGAACTAGCGGATCCAGCCGGGGGTCGCCCCCTCTCTCCATTGGATGGTAGAAAAAATGGTCCCGATATATAATTGATTTAGTGACTTAGAAATTTAGGCTAGTTTGCCCTTGCTTGTCCTACTTTGAGCCGTGAGCTGCGAAGGCTTGTATTCCTGTCGCTGTATGTTCCTGCCTACTCCATACTGATTCCAGCAGATGAAATTCATGATGGAGGAAAATTTTATTATTAAAACACTTTATTCAGAAATATTACAATTTGTCACAGTTAAGGACACTTATAATAGAGTTCAGAGATTGCATTCATACCGTATATACAAAAATATAAATAAATAAAGTAATAACAAAAGAATAAGAAGAAAGAACAAAAGAGTAAAGAAAAACAATATATATACATATATATATACACATAAGTAAATAAAAATAGAAATAAAAGTAAAACAAACACCTTATATAAAACATACATTATTTACAATTTGCCAGGTGATCTCCGAACCAATCCTGTCCCCTCCACATGTGGAGGGAAAAGGGAGGCTTAGGAGATCCCTACGCCTCTCCTTCAGCCACTTCACTGGTATTTTAAACCAGCGGAGGATGAGTAAGAGCGCTACAGCCACAGACACTCATGACTTGAGTGGAGAATCTGGCCATTGCTAGAACTCCAAAATATCCATATTTACAAAAGGTCTCGTGGCCACTGCCGCTTTAACCTACGAAGGGGATTGTAGGGATGGGTGGTGCTTGATAGGGATTGTACAACGGGATTTGGGTGATGAGAAAGGTTCTGGTGAAATTTGGAAAATTTGGCTGGGATAAGATCAAGAATAAATGGAATATTAAGGTCATGGTGTAGGGTTTTATTGGTTACATAGAAGGGAGCATTGACTATTGTACGGAGGACTTTAGACTGAAAGGATTGAATGCGTTTGATGTTAGAAAATTTGGCTGTTCCCCATAGTTCTAGTCCGTAAGTCCAGATGGGTTTCAGTATTGTCTTGTAGATCAGTAATTTGTTTTCACCAGAAAGTTTAGATTTTCTATTCAGTAGTCTATATAGCTGGCTATATCGTCTGTTAAGTTCCTGTCTTTTAAGTCGAGTATGTGGATTCCATGTTAGTCGTCTGTCTAAGAGAAAGCCAAGATACCGGACTGTATCTGAGAAAGGAAGCTGGATGGAGTTAAAATAAACTGGTGGGCAGGTAATACGCCGAAGGGTGAAGGTAATGTGTTTACATTTAGATTCATTTACCTTAATGCGCCATTTCTTACACCAGTGTTCAATCAGGAAGAGGTGCCTTTGTAAGTTTGCGGACGCTGTTTCAGGATCTGAGTTGGAAGAAAGGATAGCAGTGTCATCAGCGAAAGTTGCCAGGAGGGTATCGGGATGGACAGGAATATCAGCGGTAAAGAGAATGTAAAGGATGGGGCCCAAGACGCTGCCTTGAGGAACGCCAGCCTCAATTGAGTAACAGTCGGAGAATTCGGTGCCACAGCGAACTCGGAAGGAGCGGTCGGAAAGATAGGATCGGAGTACTAGGTATAAGGACTGTGGTAGATAGATTTTAAGCTTGAAGAGTAATCCGGCGTGCCATACCCGGTCAAAAGCTTGCGCTATGTCCAGAAATGCACCCGAGCAATACTGCTTGCTTTCTAGGGTTGAGGATATATGGTCAACAACTCGGAGTCCTTGCTGGACAGTGGAATGTTGGGAACGAAATCCGAATTGATGAGTAGGAAGGTTATAGGATTCAATTATAGGTAGGATTCGTTTCAGTAGGATCTTTTCAAAAATTTTTGAGAGGATTGGGAGTAGGCTAATTGGTCTATAGGATGCTGTATTGTTGGAAGGTTTGCCTGGTTTCAAGAAGAGGACGATGGTGGAATGTTTCCATAAAAGAGGGAAGTGGGTAGTTCGTAGGATGCAATTGTATATATATGTAAGAAATATGATGGCTTTAGATGGAAGTTGTCGAAGGATCTGTGGGGTTAGAAGGTCATATCCAGGAGATTTGCGAGGTGTGATTTTCCGTAAAAGGTATTTGACCTCAGAGGGATTAACAGCTTTAGGTGGTAAGGAGAGTGGGATAGGTATTGAGAGGGATTCTTCTACTTTTACTGTGTGGCTGGGATGGGATTCTGGATGAGGAGCGAAAGTATAGGAAAGGTGTTTGGCAAATTGGAGGAAAATTAATTTATAAAAAAAAAAAAAAATTTAACTTTATTTATTCTTGCACACGAACAATCTTTTATTCGAGCACAAGAAAATAAGGTTTTTTTTTTTTTTCTCCCGGATCCAACTTCAGTTCCAATAGATCTGGACGCATTGCTACATCCGGGAACTATAGTCTTCTTGAAGAATCCACGTAATTCATAAAACTTATGGCGATAATAATTTGTATATATCACATTAGAAATTGTTTTTCTTTTCTTAAAATAGCTGCTATTGGGAACTTTTCATGAAGTAAGGTACTAATTATTTGGTATCCGATATGATCGGAATCTGAATATTATCGGGATCGAAATTAGAATTAATTCTGAGTTTTTTCTCTTAGAGGACTCATTTCCAAGCTGCAGGGCCATTTATGCTAATCTGTCTCAGTTTTTGTTGAGTGGCTTCATTTTATCGTATTATCGTTGTAGATAATAGAATTTTTGTATTTAATGAATATGAGTTCGAACTGAAGTAAAGTAGAGAAACTTCAAATTTTTAAATTTCTGTCAAACGTTTAATAAAACTAGAAATAGTAGTCTTAAAGTAAGTAATAATTTCATTAATCGAAGGTTGCTGTACTGATGTTCACATCATTGTACGACTTTTTTCTCTCTACTTTAGGTACAATGGAAATTTAAAAAAAATAGGATTTCAATACGATCGTATTAAATAAAAAAATTTTTTATGCATGTGATTAATAAATGCATTATTCAACAACTTTTACTGAATTCATTCTTATCTTCATTGTATTGTTTGCCTTTATTTATGTTGTTATTTTGATTAGTTTAGTTGTTTTTTTTTTTTGTTTTTTATATACATTTACTTTTCGTATTATTGTTTTGCTGTTTTATTTACAGAATGAGCTACTCTATTGCTAATATCCTTAATTGTGACAGAATGTAATATTATTCAATTTCAAAGAAATGTGAAATAGTCTGTGGGCCAGACCCCCTTACCGTGCACCCCCTCCTCTCCCCTCCCCACATCTCTATAAATTTCATATCGTTGTGTTCCTTGTAACTATTTATTAAAAAAAAAAGCCAATGTTCTCACAAAAAAAAGTGAACGCACTGCCCCAAAATCGCCTCCAAAGATGGCGGATTAACGACTTTGACTTTAGTTAGTTTTTTAGTCACTGAGAATCAGCATTTGGCTTAATTTCCTCATAGTTGGTCTTTTATTAAAGCTGAATAGTCATAGAATGATAAAACATGAAGAAATATTAAAAAATAATTGGCTTAGGCTACGAAAAACACCAGTAAAGTCAATTTTTTATACAAAAAAATTTTCAAGTTACAAATCAAGCGTCGTTTGTAATTAAACGGCCTACAATAACGCAAAACGCGCTGAAATAAAACATCTGGAGAATATATTTCTCTTTCTAAAACGCTGATTATTTTTTAAAAACTTTTTGAGCAGTTCCGTAGAAAATGTAGTTATGCGGCAGAAAAGCGGTACTGGCGTGGGTGCCTACAGGCCTCTACCACACCATTCAGTACACATAAATGGCATAGTTATAGTGATATAATAACATTTTTGGTACATTATATTGGTTTTATTAACGAACAAATATTAATGCGATAATTTAATCGTAAAAAAAAAATAAAATTTTAAAAAAATTATTATTATTTTTTTTTAATTTAACCTACTTTATTCTATACGTAGGTCGTTTAAGAAGACCTCAATTGTAAAAGAGATATAACGATAATAATAAAACTTAATAAAAAAATACTTTGCTAAATATCTTGATTTTTTCATTTAACGTTTGCAATTTAACACTGTGTTTT